CGCCACCCCCGGCGCTTTGCGGAGGGCAGCCCGAAGGCACCCCTGCAGCGCGGAGCACGTCCCGCCACCCCAACGAAGGCGGCCACTTTTCTCTTCAAAAGCCTTCGCACAAGGCGGGGCGGGGGGCGGGGAGCTGCCATAAACCTATCGCTGATCGCAGTCAGTCAGGATGCGAATGAGAACTGGGAATTTCCCAGAGAACAAGAGCTTTCAGAATTAGTCCTAAAAATTATTTATTAAAACTTAGAAGAATTACAACTCTGAGGCATCTGGTAAAAAATGAACGGCTCAGAACAAACCCAGCCTTTTTTATTTTAAGAAAAGCCCGCTGAGCTGAACAGCATCTACCAGCCAAAAAAATTACCTATTGGTTCCCAAACTGGACCCCCACGTATTCAGAAACACCCAACAGCAGCTTTACTTACCAAGCACAAACTGAAAATAACTGGTGGAAAAGAAGAAAGGACAAGAAAGAGATGGAAAAGAGACACTAACACAAAAAAGTAGCTTGAGAGAACATTAGCCACTAACATACTGCACATGAACCAATTACTCACAATTACTCTGTTACAAAAGCATCCTTCCTAACCCAAGTGGCCAATCTATTTATTTTTAGGAAAACAGTCGCTGCCAGTAGTACCACAATTCTTCTTAACAGAAGTATTAAATATGAAGCCCAATTCTCAAAAGCAATGAAACTAGGATGGTTTTATATGATGCTGTCTTTAATTCACTTCTTACTACCCTCAAGAGAAATATCCATCCCAATTTTTACCAACGCTTTCTGCTGATACACATCTTTTCCTCATGATAGGAGCTGAAAAGGAGAAAGCCTTCCAACTGGCTGTAGCATTACAATCCAAGTTTAAGAGACACACTCCTAAGTTATTAGATGTACTAAACCCTGCAAGGCTCCTTCTCCAAAGATGCAGGATTTCTTCTGCTCCTTAATGTTTACTTGTTGCTCTTTCATGGGGATTTAGACAAAATATAATCAGCTGAAGCCCCAGAGCCCCTAGACTGTCAGGTTTTCTGCTAAAATTGGCAGCTACAAATCCAGCCAGGACTGCGGCAGCTGCAGAACAAGCCCTTTGAAGTGAGCAGAGCTTAGACTGAAACTGCTATGAAGAAAGGAAACAGCAGAGGATTCTTCTTTTTATTTTTTAAAGCTTTTACTTATAAATATTCACCTACTACTATGTGGACAGAAAGCAAGCCACTTCTTTTGGTTAATTAGTAGTTGTTCTTTGTACAAGTCTCAGCCAGGAGGGAAACTTCAAAGGCCTCACTCGTCAAATGTCACAGCTTGTGCTCAACGTGAAGCTGCCGGTTCTGATCTGGTTGCATAGCTACAGTTCACACTGAGTTTGGGAGTGGATCCGTATTATGAAGTAATTGCTAAGCAATTGTGTAAAGAAAAAAAAAAAAAAACAACCCACCTTCTATTGAAAAGATTTGGCAAAGTCACAGCAGTGGGTTAGATGAAAACTTGGAACAGTCTGCCAGCAGCATGATCTCAATACATGATCGTGCCTCACATGACAGCATCTTCTTTACCCATTATCTGTGTAATCAGTGGTTTATCTCTTTTGTTCATTTGTTTTTTAATGCCCTTATCTGCACATGTGACACTTGCAGCTTTAAAACAAACAAATCAGATCTAACATGGACTACTTAAGACTGCATCAGAGGTCTGTATTTCATTTTCCGGTTATGCTCCCTAACACGAATATCCTGCAGCATTCTACTGCCACCAGTGTGTGAAAAGAAAAGGACAAGGGTATCAAGCTAACATTGAGAGAAGAATAAAACAAAGAGGAAAGGATTCATAAAGGAATGAAGCCAGGAGACTATATCAAATATTAAACCAATAAAACCTCTGCAAATTATCTTTTAAGAAAAAAAAAGTAACTGGAATGTAATACAGAAAAAAAGAAAAGACCTAAGATTCTGCATAGATTTTGTCAGAATAAAAGAAGATCTGCACACTCAGTAACCAATGTAAGACATCAAAATTTGTATTTTGTATTTGTGATCTATCAGCTACTTCCTGGTAAATACTTCTTGCAAACCCTTAAGGGGCACAAGTTCAATTCTACATGACTTTCTTCCTCTTCACAAGGGCTTTTAAAACAATATTAGGCATGAACAAGATTATTCATGACTAATTTGGAAGGATTATTCATTTTTAATAAGCTTGCTTTAGATCTCTCCCAATGACACCAAAAAGAATAAACCAGGCTATGTTAACCCCATCTTTCC